CTACTTTTTAACATTGCCATCCCTACATCATCCTTATTGTTATTTTTTGTCAAAAAAAAAATATTACTTCTAAAGTTGTTACGGAAAACTGGGATGTTTATATTCAATAAACTAATTCTTTATTAAAAATAATTACTGTTAAAGAAATGAGTATAGCACTGGTACAGAGAACTGGGATATTTGACTTTAATACATCATTACTTAATAAATAATCCATTAAACGCAACTGTCCTTATATTTCATGCTGTAAAACTAGTAAAGTGTATGATATGAAAACATTTTTATTGATCTTAGTAAAACGTTTATCGTCTGGCAAGGACACTAGTGATGATACTAAATGACCTCTTTGCAGAGATTATAATGGTTTACAAGGTGTAAATCAAGTATTATATGAAATATTACACGGACACGCCAAAAAATAAAAAAATAATTGCCGACCTTTTAGAATTTATTATAATTCCATCATCAGCATAGAAAACTTAAAATAATTAACAACTTCATAAAAAAACTAAGTTTACTAAGTTTTTAAAGTTGAATTTTAGAAAAAAAACACAAAAATATTTTATGTTTGCATTTTACAGTACAAGTTGTATTAAAGTATAAGAGCACAAGGGCTGAGAAATTAATAAATCAAAGAACATTACGGAATTGTTTATGATGTCAACCATAAACATTTCCCCTTTCAGCGCTTCCTGGCTAGCTAGTTAGTCTTAATTAAATAGAAGTCATGTACATGTAAATAGTTTAACGACTTTAACACTATTTCGTACTACTGGTATTATTTGTCCATACATAATAAATTGTTAGATGTTACTATTTTTTATTATTATTAAAGCAGTTCTGACCTAAGTAACTCTGGTTATGTTTGTAGCTTCATGATGTTAGCAAAAGACGTAGGTTCAAGAAGTCTTGATACAAATTAATAAACCTATAACCGGAGTGCTTTCGAAAGGTGGGCAAACTGAAGAAGAAAGGCCTGCCTTTCGAAAGCGCTCGGGTTGTAGGGTTTTTATTCATTTCTATGTTTGTAGCTTGTAATTAGTCCAGTTTTACAGAAATTTCGCTATTGTGAGTGAACGCATTTTCCTCAAAAGTTTTATATTTGAGGCGTAATTCCATGACTGGAGAGCAATTTTGAAAAATTGCTTTTATGCAAGCAATTTACACACACAAAGCGAAAAGTATAATTATACATGTAGTTAAAAGTTTTAGTAATTAAGTTATTCTGTCGCGTTTATGTATA